CTGTTCGATACTCTTGTCTCTCCCTTGCCAGACATTCTGTTCACGACTAACATCATATACTACTTATGTCGATATAAGTAGCACACACCACAGTATTTTTATGTTCATAATCGATATAATAATAAGATTAGATTTCCTTTATGTATCATGGAAATTTTCCCGGAGATGCATAATTGATTATCATGTCATAGTCTGACACTTTTTTAAATGAAATTAATGACAGAAAGGGAAATAATTAGAAGACTGAAATTAATGAATATATCAGTAATCGAATCTATGCTATTCATCTAAAATATGTTTTTAACAAAACTATTTTATGAAGTTTTGCCTGATATATTCTGGACAAATCGATTTTGAGTTTCAATGGACGAATGTTAGACCACCATTGAAAACCTAGAAGCACTGAACGGTCGATTTGTTTTAGTACGATACTCCTCAGAAATTTGCATCCACGATCCCTCATTTGTGACTCGAACCCGTTGCCTTCAGTCTCGTGAGCGAACGCCTAACCTCTATACTCAACAATCTCTACAACCCTACACTGATAATTGTCATGTGCTCACTAGTAACTGGCTTCAAGATGAGTTTCTTGGAGTTCTAGTGAGAAGCCGTGGTCAGAGGAGTTCTTATCAATTTTCGATTTGAACTCCTGTAGTTATCTGATAGAGTGCTGTGAATATATCCTTCGATCTCTGAATCAAGTGCATGTATAATTTCTAGACCATGGTTGTTAGGTTCTAACAAATTACTCACTCTAATATTCGGTAAGATTAAGCCATTTTCAGGTATGCTGGGGTAAGGTCCAGTGGTACTTTAGGAATTTGGCACTGTATTCTATGACCGAGTACGGATTCTATCAAAGACTTATCTGCCAAGCAGACACTGCTTATGACTCTCTTTATTTTCTGTTTCTGCACTGCCATCCATTTCTCATCACACCCGAATAAAGCTGGAGTTTAGGGATATTTAATAAAACTTGAGTGAAAGAAAAGTGACAATTCTATTCTTCCCCCGTGATGTAAACTATTTGGGAGAAATGTATCCTCTCCTTCCGAGAACGTAGACAGTTTGGGTGGAATGCCTTTGTGAAGGGGAACTTTGCAGACTGACTGAGGTGAAGTATGCGTTCAGATATCGCACCTAGAAACTACAATCTATTTCAAAATGACAAGAAACGCGATAACATAGTTCATGATATTAACGTACTACTGTCATTATTGAATGGGTAAATTCTGAATGACAATTGTTCGTGTTCTTCGCTTTCTGTTTAGCGAAAAATGTTTGCTATGTTGGCGGGTCACCACATTTTCTACAACCTTATGCGATGCAGTTCTCCAAGTTTCAAATCCATACAGTAAAACTGCTGTGATGTTCGTATTGAAAATTCTAACATCGTTGTTGGGTAGCAGACAGTTGTTTCGAGTTATAAATGCTCTTCAACTGTAGGAATGCTGTCCTTGGTTTGGCAACCAATGCCTTCACCCCCGTATCAGATCCTCTCTGTTCATCAAATACGCTGACAAGGTACGTGGGAGCCCCCACCTCTTCCAAAGTTTCGACATCAAGTGTGTTTGGGTTGGTGCTCTTCATAGTGTATTTGAGGATCTTCCCTTATCTCTCGTGTATGTTGAGGCCTACGAATGTAGAGACTACTGCTACACCAGTGGTTTTCACCTACATTTGTTTTTGTGGATGAGATAAAAGATCTAGGTCATCTGCGAAGTCGAAGCCACCAAGCACCATTCAAGCTGTTCATTGTATTCCAAGCCACTTCTCAGTTCTTGAGGTCTTCGTAATCCATTCAACCACCAGAAGAAAGAGAAAAGATGAGAGTAAGCAACGTTGCATGACACCGGCTCACACTTGCAATGCATCTGTCAGATGTCCTCCATGCATGACTTTGCAGTGTACTCCGTCGTATACATTCCGTATGATGTTGACGATCTAATCAGCTACTCACTTCATTGTGTCGAAGGATGTTTCGTAAAGTTCTCCTATCCACACTGTCAAACGCTTTCTCATAGTAAATGAAGATGACGTATGGTGACGAGTTGCATTCGATTGATTTCTCAACAATGATCTAAAGTGCCGCGGTTTGGGCGATATACAATCGATTCTCACGTAATCCTGTTTGTTGATCTCGGAGTTTGGCGTTTACGAAATGTTCCATTAAGTTCAACAGCACTGTGTTGAAATTTTTTCATGTTACCGTTAGTAGTGTTGTGCTTCTGTGGCTTTCACAATTGCTCAGATCTCCTTTACTTGGTGTCTTGATGAGGTTTGGATAGCTCGGTGGTAACGTCTTTAACTGTGAAGCTGGGTGACACGAGATCGAATCCGCCAGGGAGCACCAGTTCCCTCAAGATTAGAGGTACACCTTGCTGACGAGTGCCAAGGAGCACAAAACCCGGCCCAGGGTTTCCTGTTTACTACCTGCAACCAACATTTAAATGAGGTATCCTTGTTTTCAATCGATCGGTGGCACTTGTTTGTCCTCCGAAATCTTCCGAAATATAGCGTGTAGCACGTTTCAGTTACTTCTGTGCCCGACTTTCGTGCTTCAGCTGATTTATTGTTTGATGCTACCGATTTCCCACTGTTGGTTTTTTTGATGGCCATCCTAATCTCTTCGTTTATTGGTAAGTGATATTTGTTTGTAAGTGCTGTTTCACTGTCTTGTGGGTTCAATGTGTATGGTCTTTGCAAGAGTTCCTCGGAGAGTTCTGTCAGTCTGTTCCATTTTTTTCCTATCGCAGTGATTGGCTTTCCTTATCTATCTTTAACTTATCTCTCAAGTTTATTATATTTCTCTGCTAGTTTTTTTGTTGCATCATAAACTCTTCACGGATTCGACTCTTTTGCAGATTCATCCGCTAGCACTGCGATATTTTCCATGTATTTCTACTTGAAATCTTTAATTCTGCTTTTCAGTATCTTGTTTACTTATGTGTATTCGGTACATGTCATAGATATCTCCGCATTTCTCCGGCTGTTGGTGCTTCTTACGAACCATAACCTCCTGACACGTTCAAGCTGGTGCTTCTGAGATCCCTTTTCAACTGTACTACATAGTAGTTTCTTCTGTAAGCGGATCTTGTAAGTCTTAGAGCGTATTGCTGAAACCTGTCTTAAATTTGTCGAGTTTGTCAGTATCTTGAAGGAACGCTGTATTGGACCTTTATAATGCTGCCTGTTCAGTTGTCCAATGTTTCCTTAGAAACCACCAGGCAGTGATTCAAAGTTATATCAGCTCCTCTTCTGCTTCCCACGTCTACCATGTATTTTCTGAATTTTCCCATGCAAATATGATCGATCTTGTTCTCTTAAGTGTGATCCCATGAGACCATGTAGCTTTGTGCGTGCGTTTGTGAGGGAATATCACGCCAACTATTACCATTTTGCTAAATGCACATAAATTTTGAGACCTCCCATTGTTCTCATTCTTTTCTCCCAATCCAAGTAGTCGCACGATATCTTCATGGACGGTGTTATGCGTTTCGACTTTGATGTTCAAACCTCTCATCCTGGTGGTCGGGTCCTTTCATGAGCGCTTCGCTATGATCGATTGAAGCCTCGGGTAGAACTGATGTTCATCGTCTTCACTGCCACCATTGTTTAGAGAATAACACGGGATAACATTCATTCGATTCCCACATTTTTGTTTTGAAGGGTGCTTTAATGATCGTGTGTTTATGAGAAATTCATTCCAATAAGTGCTTCGTTTGCTTCCTTAGACAGTATCGCAGCAACTCCCTCGATATGTGGAGCATTTTGTTCTTCATGACCAGAATACAGGAACATCTCTCCCGAATCTAACTTTTTCTATCCGAATTGGGTACGCTGGGTTTCACTTATCACGAGCCCCGTCAAGCTGTATCTCCTCATTTATCCATCTATTCGATTGGTTCTCCCGTTCTTCCACATTGTCCGGACATTCCACGTACCTATAATAATTGTTGCTCTGGTCGGTATGAAGGGCGTTTACCTCGTGACTTCCCAAGAATCTCCGCTTTCACCACGAGATGTCATCATTCTTCTGAATGAAGATCCTTCAACTTGAAGAACAGAATTCGAATGGTTTAATTTGTTTATTCTGAGTAGCGTACTTTGGCAAGTTATTTTTCTACGGGTTGCTGACCCCACGCCAACCCTCTTTCTTTACCCGGGCCTGGGACCTCTAGTAGCCCTAGAAGAGCTGCTATCAGTGTCTACTGGTATTCTACAGTCATTAAATTATGCTCGTGGCAGCCAGAGATTTCCTTCAAGAATATTCGGTGGGTTGACTTCAGAGTTAGTGGAAATGTTTTTAGGTGTTTGCTTGAGTTCTCACCTGGAAAAAGACTTCTGTTTTACGTCACTGTAACCTGAAAATGTATTGCTTTCTTGGATCGTGTTCACAGAAGAACAACTAAAAAGGCACTCAGACCAAAAAACAAAGCGAACTTAGCTTTTCTGGAAGCCCTCTGTTTATAACCAATGAAGTACTGTGGGATTAGTGGAATGTAATCCAGATGTATCATATGACACATGACCTGCTTTATTGCAGTATAACACTACTAGTTTTCAGTGACAACCCCTAATTAAGGGTCAACCCACCAAGGATATGAAATGAAAAAGCCTGCACCAAGACTCAAGCAAACGTTTGTGGTTAGTAACAGTGCACTAAGAAACTCCCGACCAGTGACGATAGCAATAGCAGCTGACGAAGTTTCTTTTAAAAGACAGCTTGGCTTATACTCCGATCTTGTATGGGTTGTGAGTGGTTACCCTGCATTAATCCATGGTCGCTGCTACCATTGCCTAATCTGCATTCGCTCATGCAGTTTCAACAAGGAATACATCGAATAGAACACTTCCATACTATAGAAATACATATCAAAAGGAATCAACAGTCTGCCGATTCCTCTCGGCAAAGTTTGATGTTTGGGCCAAAATGACAATATTATAATGGGTATTTAGGATAGTCAGGTCAACCTAATTTTCATAGTAAAAATACACCGCTTAATTTGATTAGCTGGATGTGACCTTGGCACATGTAACTAACTGGTCATTTCAGGAAGGTTTCATTGTAGAAGTTGGCATTCAGTTTATATACAAGGCTTGGATTAGAGTAACTTTAATACCTAGTCTCTTACAAATGAATGTTTACCAGTTCCCTTCTCACTGCTTCAGAATTCAACGGGCGGTTTCATGCGTTATTCGACATAGCTTCCATAACCTCTGCGATAAACACCAAGCTATGGTCTGGTGTTATAAGATAACGGTGTTTTTAAGATGTAAATAGATGTGATGGTTGGTTTCAGTACCTGCACATCATCATAGTACCTATTAGTCGGTGAATCGCTGACAACTTGACTTATCTGAAGCTTGTATTATTATGATTATCCTTCAGATCTGATGTTATATTCTTCACACTAACTGCCGTTTTAATTTCACGTCGACTCAAACGACTCTGGTCGGCGTGAGGTGCTTTAAGTATCCTTCGTGAACAAATCCTACTTATAGTCACTAAATCAAATATATTCGGTTTGATGATTACCCTTGTTGATATTTTCCTTTGTGCAGAATCAAGTCTTTCATGGTTGGTCTTATCTATGTCAGGCGTGTAGTTCGACGTAATAGGTTGTAGTTTCGAATGACTAAGACATCCTAAGAAATCATTATCTCGACCGTAATATTTGGCAGCTTAGTAATTTTTTGTATGCTTTTTAAAATCTAAGCGGATGATGTTTTACATATAAACTCCAGTCTCTTTTTTATGAAGGAAATCAGTTACCTGTAATTCTAAGTTTTGTTATCTGACTACTAACCATCGTTATTGGCAACGCTCGTATAAAGAAAAGTAGACCAAGCAGTATTAGAATGTGGTATATGGTTTGCACGTCTGATAAAGACCTGGAGTAACTTTCTTCCAGTATTCATTTCTAGGAAATAACAGTTTTTAAATACAAAATGAACTGTCTACCCATCATCGTTTCAGATATACTAGTGTGGCTTTAAAAAATCTGGGGAAAACATTTATTTTCGCTGTCTGTTTTGAAATGACAAATATCCGGAAACTCGTCTCCCTGTGTTTGAGAAGGCGAAGTCCTGCCAGTAATTTTGATCAATAATTGGACTCGTAGTGAAGTGGCTCAGACGCATCCATTCCTTATTTTCTGTTTCGGGTTTCGTTGTTTCATACCTTCTATTCCACAAATATATTCGTACATTTTAGAACTTATTCTTCATAAGTATGTTACAATTGTGGATAGTAATCAATCTTCATGGAGTGAATAAATGAAAAATATTTCCTCAAGTTCTAGTGGACCAGTGGCTTAGTGATTAGAACGTCTAATGCTCCCCCTCCTAAATCACAGGTTCGAACCCCGTTTCACGTACTTCTGTTTTAGTAACCATGTGTTACCAGCCCTCACACTTAAAGAGTAACACACCTAAATACCTAGTAAACGAGCTAGTAAGGTGAGTAGGTATGGTCAATGGGGTTACTATTTTGACTTTTTTGTTTATCTTGTTGATTCCTCTTCACTGTATCTATATAGTTTGTGAACGTATACTGATACAATTTTATCTTAAGTTCTATGTTAATTTCGGCTGATTCAAGCGTTGAAAAGTGACATCATCGATATAACCTTAGTAAGAGTTTGAGTGATTTCATACTCATCGCAAACTAGTTTTGAAACTCCTAAAGTATTTATATCTTGTTTGGTTCGAAGTGGGAGAATTGTTGATAACATTTAGTGTTCTGGGCAATAGTTGTATAACACTGGCATCTATAGATTCATCACTACTTTCTGGTTTGGTTTTTTTAATTTTGCATCTCAGTAGTGTTGAATGTTAACAGGGATGACAAAATAGAAGCCTGCTAGAATCTTGCGGTTGTATTTTACTATGTTCTTCGTAAAAGTTGAATCAATCTCCCAATTGAAGTGCATCTCTCACTAGCTACCGTTCATACCTACTTATTCATTGATTTTGTAACCCTCTGTCTTTCACAATACTACCATCCCACCTTGTTTAATACACTTTTTTGATGTAATATACCAAAATGTTTGTAATATTGGTAAACTATATATTGTTATCGGATGTTTGTGTTATACAAGTTCTTGTATGTGTTTTGTTACTCCTACTTATTGCAATACCTGGTTCTGACGTACTAACTTTATTATAGTGATGTATTAAGATAAGTATGTTTGTGTTTCTTACAATTCGTAACTTTCTAAATAATTTCTTTGTATATCTTGTAGATATTGATCGTGTTACTCTTGTACTTATTTTATACCGGGATTGACTGATCCTGTATTATTAAGAACCTATTTGATAGGATTATTTTGTCAAACCCTAATGGAACAAGCTTGTGTCAAGTCTTCTCAGCACCGTCTAGATGACTGGTTAATTATTCTCAAAGAACATCATATTTTAAAATCTCTTGGCGAAGAAAGAGAGGCGTTTGAAAGAAGTTTAGAACTTCCAACGATTCCTGAAATGATATTCGATCAAAATTCCTTATCAATTTGTTTCTGTCAACCAAATAATGAACAAATATGCAAAATTGAATTTAATGCACTTGATGCTCTTAAATTAGTCGACCCAAAGAATATAACTATAGAGGTGAGTTACTTAATACTAATCTCAACACACCGAAGGTACCATTTGCAAAGGACTGGAGAGATTCTCGAATTACTAATCAAGAAGACATACTGCCACATAAACCATATGACTGGACTTTCACTACTCCGTATACAGGCACTTTGTCTGGTGAGTTTTGTTTACGTTTATATACTCTTCTCCGTCATAGCATCCGTGTCGTCACCGTTCTAGGGAATTGTTTCGGAAGTTTCGTGAATAACGATCACGTTTTGGGGTTTCTAAAACAAATTATTGAAATTTTGACTGACAGATGACACCATGTGTTCAAACGATAACTTTTCATGAGGCCAAATTATTGGTGCAACCTCCCTCAAGTAAATGGTTATCAAAAGACAAGAATGTTAGCCAGTAGGAACAGTTCTTTTATCTGTAAAACATGGTCGTTTATGAAATATTATATACAAGGATAAACGTAATGAGATTTCTGTTAGCAAATAAATCATCGAGGGATATGTATAGATGGTCACTCTGCTTAATAAAATTATGATCTTACTGTCGGGCTTAATTCTTGCACGTTACGTAAATTTGAAGATAACTCATGGTGTTTTCCAAGTCCTAGTTTGTGTTGTTCACCACACAATTCAGATGTGACTGATGTGGTTTTACATTTTTCACCCAAGTATATCAACTTATAGGATTGTAATCAATAGCACGATAGTATTCCATTTGGTTATATGACAATGTGCACTCAGTTTAAATAGCTTGACAATGATTTCGTGATTGGTAAATTACTTTCATTATAGGTCCCTGGAGTATATCTCCAACTTCTGAGGGTTTAGATATGGAGTATTTACGTCGGAAAGATCCTATTCGCTTTTTTGTTAATACAACGCTATATGAAGATGAACTAGGTGATAATGGTGTATCTATTCTGAATATAAAGTTTCGTGCAATGTCTTCTGGTTTCTTTTTACTACAACGTTTTTTCTTACGTATTGATGGTGGACTAATACGAGTATATGATACTCGACTACAATGGCGTCAAAATGATAGGTAATTTTGAACTTAACGTATATTACATCTTATTTTGTTACTTATATTTGTATTATGGCTAATTAAAATCTACAGTCATCACCTAAATTATTTTAGGAAATTTAGCAGTTATGAATCCAAATCTATGGAGTCATACACCATACATCATTTTCAAACTAATATTATTTATTGTAACAGCCGAGTTCATGAGTCGATCTTAGCTAGACCACCACTGAAAACCTGGGAGCACTGTACGGCTGTTTTGTCCTAGTACGAGACTCCTTGGCCGTGATATAGAGGTTAAGCGTTCATGTGAAATCGATTTTTTTGATGTTTTGAGTATTAGCATCTGGTTTTTATGTTATGTACTGAAATTCATACTTAAGTTAACACAGAGTTACTGAGTAGCAAATAGACACTGACTTTTGGGAACAAATGTGAGTTATCTAGAGGTTGAACGGATGTACATACGTACCAGGTTCTACGTTCTGATTGACTGAGAGGTTGATTTGCATAAGTTTACAAAAGATGATTCCTATTTCACCGATATTCGTGGTTGATCACGCAGACGCTTATCTTTTATGCCTGGAAATACAATCTAAACATTTAAATTTCAGAACAGCACCATAACATCAAGTATGTTTGTTTGTGTTCATTTCTGGTATATATCATTGGTTGTATCTAAGATCTAATCGTGTCAACATTGTTTCCTTTGGCATTCACTTTTTACCCTGATCGAGTCATCTATCCCAGCAAAACAGCAGCTATTGACTAGTATCTACCCAACGCAATACTGATACCATATTGTTCCTGTATAAAGAGACATAAAATATACTTTTATAACCAGAAAATAGGAGGTGGATTCTCGGTAATTTGGACCATTAAAGAAGAGTTTATGAAATACAGCATACTTCAATGGCTATAATTTCTATATTCTAACCTGGACTTTCATCAACTTTCCCTCTCCAGTGGTGTGTTGTGACAACCTAGTAAAGTGTAAAGTGAAACATTTACCATCGATATTTAAAGAAATAAGATAATGTAATTCCTGTGATTGCTTGAAACCATCAATTACTCGTAACACATTTCCATATATTTATCTGAACGATATAAAAATCAACATTCTCTTTTATAAAGTAACTGTTACTTAAAATGGATGGAGAATGCTGGTGATCGGCCTTTGCTCATCCACGAGGAGTAACAGGCGTAAGTAAGTAAGCAAGTACTTAAAATGAAACATCTATATAACTGCTTCCTCAAATTCAATTAGTATTGTGTGGTATTGTTTCAAGAAACTTGTAAATATCAGCAAATAATCTTCTACTTTTTTTAATCCAGTTATTTAATTCGTGATATACGCCGAATGGAAAGTTCATCTTGGAGAGAAGATATGGTTGGCATCAGTTTAGAAATAGCAGATCAACTATGTGATACAGTTATAGAGCATTATACAGAAAAACTTGTACCACCATATGTAAATTCACCCTAAAATTATCAATAATTTATGTAAATAGTATTATGTGTTCAATTATTTCTATCGAATTGTTTGTTATACAAGTTTGTAAATTATTGAACATTATTTCTACACATATTTGTTTTTCATAATCAAAGTGGTTGATTAGTTCAATGAACTATATACATTAGAGTATTAACGTGGATGCGCACTACTGAGGAGTCTCATACTGGGACGAAACGGCCGTCCAGTGCTTCCACGTTTTCCATGGTGGTCTAGCTTCAATCGACTCATGATTTCAACTATTGAAATGACTAAAATCTCCACAAAACCCCTTCTGATAATAATCATCTGCTCACTGGTGACTGACCTCAAGATGGATTTTCTGAATTTCTACTGAGAAGCCGTGATCAGTGGAGTCCAACCGGTTCTGTTGTGAGATACTAACTCACTGAAGACAATGGTGGACGGTGGTGCAATTTCGTGAATTGGTTGAAGTTAGACATTAAGACCGTTAGATGGCAGTCGGCTCAGTGATCTAGTGGTTAAGCGCTCACGCGCGAGACTGATAGGTCCTGGGTTCGAATCTCGCGGGGTGCGGGATCGTGGATGCGCACTGCTGAGGAGTCCCATACTAGGACGAAATGGCCGTCAAGTGCTTTAAGGTTTTTCATGGTGGTCTAGCTTCAATTGACTCATGATCTCAACTATTGAAATTACTAAAATCTCCACAAAACCCCTTCTGATATTGACGTTTTAGTTGACCACTTCATCTTAAATAATCTATCTTCTTCAACCTAAATGATTGAACAGTATTGTCAGCCTTCTAATCATAATACATGTAAGTTTTGGAATACCTAACATTGAATTTAGAAAATCCATTTTAAGATAGTCATTCTTACACCTTAATGTCAGCTAGAAAACCAGCTAAAATAAGATGTAGCTCTGTATATATTCCTTTCTAACTTTAAGTTTCTCATCTATAAACACCTTACTAAATTACTTGGAATGGAAATTAGGACCTCCAGGTTGAATGACTATCAGAATAACTAGGTTTAAATAGTGTGTTGTAGTTCGCATCTGTTGGGGGTGTTAGATCCGCAGAGCTCACTTGGTTAATATCCTATTTTTGTAATTCCATTTTAAGAATTTGAATTTCTTGTTTTTGCGCCAAAAGCGCTTATTTTTTTACTTTCATGTCGTATTTCCTACTTGGGAGGATCTTAAACGCTATTGGTTCGTTGTATCCTTTAGTACGCTATTTTGTGGCGCTTCCCAAGGACATTCTTATGCTGTATATCATACGCTTGATTTGTGTTTGCTGTTGTTGTTCGTGCTTCTGGTTGCTTGTGGAATTTATTTCCTTCTTCCGAACTTGAACGTCTCCCTCTAGTTAGCGGGGCTGGGACGCGTCGGGTTAGCTAGCTCATCTGTCATTGTGTCACAGTCTTCGTTCTGTTTTCAGATTAGGTGAACTAGTAATCTGTCCAAACATAGCAACATCCTCAATTTTATAATAACGATCATCCAATTTCATCAATGATACGTGTATCACTTCCGGTATGTTCGGTTTCTATCTGTTACTAGTTCGTACGAAGACTTCTATAATCTATCTGGAATTTTGTTACTGATATGAGTTAACACCCATAAACGATCTAAGTATACACTATAGACTAGTTATTACGTTGGACCCATTCATCACATTTGTTGTGGAGACGGCATTCTCAAATGCAACAGATGAAAAAGAAAATCAATACTAAGATTCACATATTGTTTTTAAGGTGATTTCTGTACAGTCAGCTGTCAACGCGATTTCGTCGTATTAATTTATTCACATTAAATTCTGTTCATTAGCAATCTGTGTTTTTTTCAGTTGTAATTATTTACTTTTCAATGCATTTTTGCCTTGTATTAATTAATTCACTGTGACTTCGTACTGTATAATAGTTGCCCAGTTCTGTAATTAATAACCATTGTATAATGGATATATAATTGAACTAACTTGGATATAATCCAATTCTTCTGAAGTTTTTATCTGAAGCTTTTATATAAACTTGAACGTCTTACTCTAATTAACAGACAATGATGAAAAAGATAGAAGCAGTCTTGTTAATCATGTATACAAGTTGTAATTGAAAATAATTAGCTATGTAAATAAACATATTGTACTTCAACTGAGTTCAATGATCCTCATTTAGTAGAAACTTGATGGAGGTAGTCAACAGGGAACTCTGGACCTAAGTTTCATGCTACTTAGCAGTCGTCAGCAAGGTGTACCTGTAATTTTGAGGGAGCTGATGCTCCCTGACGGATCCGATCCCCTGTCATCCAGCTTCACAGTCAGAGACGTTACCAATGAGCTGTCTGGGCTGCAACTGGTTTGTAGGACTGAGATGTATTTACAATTGATTGATCACCGGGTGGTGATCAATGTCATGTATGTCAGGTCCTTCTTAGTGTAGATCAAGTCCTATTGACCAAGTTGCAATGTGGTTTCCTGTTGGCTACCTCCAACTACCATCTGATCTCAACATAGTGCACGCAGTGTCGAGTCACCTAGACTGGTGGCCACATTGCAACTTAGTCGATAGGATTCAATCTACACTAAGAAGGACTTGACTTACATGACATTGATCACCACCCAGTGATCGTTCAATTGTAAATGGAATTATCTTGTTGATTTATAATTAAACGATAACTTGTAAACAGGTAATCGATTTTATGGAACCGGCTGATAAGAACTTCATTTAGTCAGTTAGTGCACACAATAACGAGTCATTTATGATATGGAAAACATTCATACTATAAGTATTATTTCTACTTTGGAACTCAATATTTCTGAGCAAAGATATTCGGTCGATCGATGAAACTATAAACCTTCCCTGACCTACATAATTTTAGTATATGTTATGCATATTCAGCCGCAATCTGTCCAGATGACCAACATTGTCTGTTATACAAGTAGATTTAAAAAAATATAAATAGAGTAGTTCATGGATTTATTGACTGCTGGTCTGAACCATGCTCGGAGATGCATATTCCCTGATTAGAGATATCGATTGGTATTACTCTAAAATTTCGAGCTTGATATATACTAACTTACGGACAAGTTATGAACAGTGTATCCACGTTATTTTGAACTGTGAATGTTTAGATACAAAACATTGTTACTTCATTGATAAAAGTATGCTTCAGGGATCAATCAGAATCGAGAAGCGAGCATTTGGTTTGGTGCGCGAAATTCAACACACCACATACATCAACCATTAAACATTCTTCTGGACACTAATTAAAACGTTTGAAATGATAGCGAACAATTATTTCCAACCATCATAGAGTGGAATAATGATAGTGTTTAATGTATCAAGTGTCTAATTCTGTTCCTACAGATTGTACATAACAGGCAAATTGACACTATCCCTAAATATCAACTCTAAACCCTTAATTAATCCTGAAGAAAACCTTAACCTGATGGCCTTCAATTTTATCAACAAACTAATCAGATGTCACCTCTCATACTTTTCAATGAATTTTATTCATTAATGACTTGGGAATGATTTAAGATTCTAGTTAATGTCAATTCATGATGAAAATCCTGTCCTTAACTCGGAAATATGTGGGTACTATTCAAAATGTGTTTGTGTATTCTTAAGGATTCGAGAATATAAACAATGCTCATCCACCAGACCAAGTTTATTCTTTCGATTTATAAGCAGAATAACTTATAGAATACATTAATAGATTAGCTACTTCTATATAATTTGTTATCACTTTACAATATTATTACTTTATTTCTCCTAAACTCTTCATCTATAAAAGCTATTTTTTTGATTAACTAAAAAGCCTCTCGTAATTTGTAGTTGTTCTAAACTCATCACTATACTATACTGTTCCCATTTTGTTGAACAGCTGAAGTTATCTATCCATATTACTTGATACTTAAATTTTTATTCTGAGTATAATACGTGTCGAGCATAGAAAGGTATCTACCTCAGTACAATGGAAGATGGTCGCGCAATTTCGCGGATTGGTTGATGTTAAACACCAACAGTAGTCCAGTATGTTAAGCGTTCGCGCGCGAGACTGAAGGGCCTGGTTTCGAATCCCGCGAGCGGGATCGTGGTTGTGCACTGCTGAAGAGTTCCAAAATAGGTCGAAACGGCCTTCCAGATCTCCATCAGTGGTCTAACATCAATCGGTTCATGATCTCAATCAAGAAGTGGAACATTTGAAAAATGTGATTAAACTAGTTTGATGATCAAGAAGTTCGAACATATTGTTCCCAATACATATAACTAAGGTCATAAATTATCGATGAGAAAGTCTTAAGAGTTCAGATTTCCAACGGTGGTCTAACGCTAATCGGTTCATGATCTCAATCAAAAACTTAATAATCTCCATTATCCCTATATTGATAATTATTTTTCATTACTGGATGTTTCAGAAAAAACTGTATGCAAGTTATAATTGTTATTTTAATGGTACTATTTCTCAGTGTTTATTAAGAATATTTGAAACAGAAAATTTTATCAATGGGTAGATTGTTTCATCTTGGATATTATTTGTAGGGTTACTAAGAGATTTATGATGTAATCTATCATCCAGAGTTGGATATAGTGTTGTTGCTGTGGTTGTTATTATTGTTGTTGTCATCGTCGTCGTTGGTGGTGGTGGAGAATGTAATGCAGCTTGTCGATAATCTGATAAAATAAGATTTGATGATTGTTTATTATTTATGGTAGTATTTATATTGGCTAGATTAATACAATTAGTATTTTCGAATAGATTGGTTGTAGTTGTCATATTTATGGTAGATAAATTATTCAATTCATTAAGCTCTGCATGTATATCCAATTTATTTTGTTTCATCTATTAATAAATCATAAATACACATTAAGAAATAAAATGATCTTAGTATAAAATTCATATTACACTCTATTTTGTGGAAATGAGTTTAACTTGTAAGTTGTATTCGTCAGGGATTGATCCCGATTTGGGTGTTATTAAAAAGTAAATGAACCCAGGATCTTCATGTCATGCAGTTAACTATTGATTAGTAAAACCACTAGGTTGGCATTCATTCATGTAATATCGACTTCAATCAATTTGCGATATAGTACAATGACAATTTAATGTAATTGGTGGTAACTGTTTCACATTTGAGACCTCTAAATTCTACCAGTCATGACTTCCTACCGCAAGCTATTTCACATACATTCTAAATTCTTTATCACATGCTATTTGTAAGGTCAAAGTCTTCAGCAAATCCATGGTTAGCGGATTTTTATCTTGTCGGATAAACCGGGTTTAGAATTGCTTTCATAATAGCAAATAGCACTGTCTACACTCTTGTACATCAGTTAAAACATTTGCTGAAGTTCTATCCTTCCATCAACTGTTTTATCAATAAACATTTACACTTTAGTTAAGTCTTGAAGTTTGCTGTAACCCGATGTATGAATTTCTAACCAAAAAATTAATACATTCTAAAGGACTAGGGATAGGACTGCGTACTAATCCTTTGGTTACATATTGAGATGATCTATAGCCTAGGAAGAGGATTTTCGATGTGTTGTGACATCTGATTTATGCGGTTTAGTCTTGAAGTTTCCGTTGTCATTTATAGATAGTATTACTGACACATACTTCGAAAACAAGTATTGATAGTGTTGTCTGTTATAACAATAAATACTACATGGCTAAAGTATCCAACTCGGAAAATGAAAAACCTCTAAAATTTATATTGATATACATATAGAGAAATTGACAGTCGATGTCTGTCTTACATGGAAATAGTTAACCAAAAGTTCCTCTTATTCTATCACTTAAACTTTTAGTGGAAGACATGTCAAATTACGCATTAACTGGGTTGACAACATTTACTTACACCTGTTACCCCCAATGAAGCATAGGCCGCCAACCAGCATTCTCCAATCCACTCTGTCCTGGGCCTTCCTTTCCAGTTCTATCCAATTTTTGTTCATTTTTCTCATGTATGTCTCCATTTCTCGACAAAATGTGTTCTTTAGTCTTCCTCTTTTCCTTTGGCCTTGAGGATTCCATGTGAGGGCTTGCCTTGTGAAGCAGTTGGGTGCTTTCTTCAATCTGTGTCCTATCCACTTCCAGTGCTTCTTCATGATTTCTTCCTCCTCTGGGATCTGATTTGTTCTCTCCCATAGTAGGTTGTTGCTGATAGTGTTTGATAAACGAATTCGAAGTATTTTGCGTAGACAACTGTTAATAAACACCTGTATCTTCTGGATGATAGCTTTCGTAGTTGTCCAAGTTTCCGCCCCATACAGTAGAACTGTTTTGACATTTGTATTGAAAATTCTTACTTTGGTGTTGGTTGACAGACAATTGTTTTGAGTTTCAGATGTTATTCAGTTGTAAATATACTGCTCTTGCTTTACCGATCTGCACCTTCACATCTGCATCACATCCACCATGTTCATCAATGATTCCGGCCAGATATGTAAAGGTTTTTACATTTTCCAAAGTTTCTTTATCAAGTGTGATTCGATTGTTTTATTCTGTGATGTATCGGAGAATCTTGCTTCTCCCTTTGTGTATGTTGAGACGTACTGGTGCCGAGGCCGCTGCTACACTGGTCGTCTTCTTCTGCATTTGTTGTTGCGTGTGTGATAAAAGAACCAGATCATCTGCGATGTCTAGATCGTCCAATTTCATCCTAGATGTCCATTGTATCCCATGCTTCCCCCAAATGTTGACGTCTTCATGATCCAGTCGATCAGTAGGAGAAAGAGAAAGGGTGAGAGCAATCAACCTTGCCTAACACCGGTCTTTACCTCGAATAAGTATGTCAGTGGTCATCCGTGCACGATTTTGCATCATATGAATTCCATATGATACTGACTGCCTTCTCAAGCACTCCGTAGCGTCGAAAAAGCTTCCACAGTGTTTTCTTATCCACACTATCAAATGCTTTTTCTTAGTCAATAAATTTGACGTAGATTGATGAATTTCATTCCATTGATTGTTCCACAACAATAAAATACACGTAAACTGTTTACAAAAAAAATTACAAATTCTTACCCGTAATACTGAAGAATCATTTCCACAAAGAACAAATTTCTGTTCATTATTATCATATGTTATAAAGCTATGAAATCTGTTAGATAAGTTTATTAAATCATACCATTGTAATTCAACAGTATCGAATTGATTTAAATCTATCGTATTCATTCGATGTTTCAATAGATTCATTTGTTTTTGATCATCATGAATTAGTTCTATATTTGAATTAAGACTTTGTTCATTTTGTTGATTGTTCAAGTGATTTAATAAAGATAAATGAATAGGAATTCTATTTATGAAATCATTTGATGATATCTTCTTGAATATAGAATTCTCTATGTAATAATTAAATTAAAGAAAAAAAGAATCACATTATATAATTCTTATCAGAAAGGTATTTTGTGGATATATTATAGTAATTTCGATAGTTGAAATCGTGAGTCATCATGGGAAATCTGAAAGCATTCGACGACCATTTCATCATAGTATGGAACTCCTTATCAGTGTGCATCTACAATCACACCTTTCGTAATTCGAACCCAGGACCTATCAATCTTGTACGCGGACGCTGAACCTTTAGACCAATGAATCGGCTAGCATTCAAAATGGCGTTAACGTTTGACTTCAAACAATCTATGAAGTTGCTTCACCGTTCATCATTGTCATCAGTGAGTTACTGTTTTAGTGGAGGCCCGTTATTTGATCGTCATTTAGATCAAACGATGTTGTCGGAAGGGTTTTCCACTTTAGTGGCCCAGTGGATCTGACTCCAAGGAGATTGTAATGATGATTTTTGTTGAAATATATATATTGCCTATTCTCGTATATAATCATCGACCTTAATCGCGTTAGTCAATAACGGATTTAGATAAGTCAAATAACGAGAATGGATCTTTTTTTAATTATTATTAATGGCTTTATTCAATATTATATTTTGGTATAATATAGAATTCTCAACACAGGGTATTTCAACAAGTTACTTACGCAAAAAAAACAGTGACAAATACAAGAAAAGGAAAAAAAGGTTTTAAAAAAAAACCCGAAAAACTGTACAACTTTTCAAATTAGGGGCATATTAAGAATGCAGGTTATTGACTAGGTTAACTCTAACAACCTGTTCGTCATAGAGTATATTCGCTAGTTAAGGTATTATAGAACTTTTATACTCTAATTTGCGTGCATGGATTTTAATGTAATTACGTCTCGTTTTACCAGAAGAGACACAAGGAGAAAGATAGGACTGAAGGGGATGGTTAGTATCTGATAAAATAACACCTGCCAGGAGTTTGCATGACTTTAGATGTCTATCCACAACCATATTAATTATGACCTCGAAAGATTCCCCACAAATCTTGCTAACTGCCTTCAGCACTCTCCGCAATACAGCTAAGTCTTTTCTCAAAAGCCTGGGAAAGAATAATGGAGAACAGTAAAGAATAATAGGTAATATACAAGAATTTACAAATTGTTAGAGTAAATGACGAGTAATACCAAGAGCATTCAATCTCTTTATGTAGTAAGTCAGACGGAAAACCTTCTTCGACAACAATAAAACATGGGAACACCAAGAGAGATCAGAGGAAAAGGTGACACCAAGATAATTGACCTTCGACACCGTGTTTATCAAAGAGTCTCCAATGGAACAAGCATTATGGGATCTCAAATTGGTGTTTAGATCCCGTTCATGTCTCATACTAAAGTTAACAGCTTAACATTTAGACGGATTAAGTATGAGACCATTACCAACAGACCAACAATCAATACGGGACAAAACTCACTCATCTCTATGGGACGTAAAGAGGAAGAGATAGGCATACATACAATGAGATCATCCGCATATTTCACAAAAGTGTTTTCTGTGGAAGATGGTAGATCATGCAGAAAAAAAGAGAATACGTATATTTTGTATATAAATCGAATGAAATAGAGAGAAGAGCAACGACACGCAGTGGAGACAGCGGGTAAGCCAACTCCTCTTTAACCAAGCGTTAATCAATATTTATAGTCACACAGAATAAGTTACAGACATGGGATGAGTAACGGGATAAGAAATGTACACAAATATGCGCTCATATAAAAACAGTGAAGATTGATAAGCGAATAAATAACAAGGTCAGAATGTGACTCAAGTAGAATCAATAGAATGGGCTGTCCGAAAGCTAGAATAAGGTATATGGGCTTAACATAATAACCGACACTACACTATCTTACAAGAGATTCGCTTGAACTTCATTGGTCACTCCTTCTCACTAGGACTCGAGGAGATACCTCTTGAAGTCATAAATACTATATTATATTGTTCGTTTTTTTTTACAGAAAGTTCAGATGATCACAAATGATAATTTTCAAACAAACTCAATGTCAGACAACTGTACTGATGAAAACATTGAATCTATGATGTCTGTTGAGTTTTACTATTCCTTGTAGAATTGTATAATGCTAAACAAGATCTGATAAAATGGTTAGTATATGAGATTTTAACCAAAAACGACTCAAATTGATAAAGAAGCTAAATAATATCACTTGTTAGTAATTCTGAAATTGTTCCGAACAATCAAAACTAAGATAAAATGACAGATGGGAAGTTGTTTGAATAGGATAAGTTAAATGTATCCTGAATTTTGTAAAATAGGGATTCTCTTATTTCATTTTATTTATATATATGAAAGACATTTTTGTTTTTACTTCAATTAGAAGGTCTGTCAAATATCATGATAAAACGTCAGAAATAGGCTCCGAAAATCACGATTGATGTTACTCATTATTCAACACAAGGGTAGTCACTATGTTCTTAAATATTCGAAAGTTAATCAGACTTAACCATTACTCTGTGCTATATAACTACTCATTGCGTTGAGTAGAAATACAGGTTCTAGTATTGCAGCGTTGCACTGCTAATTATGTTTACCTATCAGAGGGTCCAGTAGTAGATATTTCAGATCAGTACCTCGGTAACCATTCCAAACACTACACAATTGTTATACGTTTTATGGTGTAAGGTTTAAGGGCTAATGACGTATAGTGTCTAATACTATGTTAAGCTTACGTGGGTTATTCTAGCTTCCGGACAATCTGGTATATTTAATCTTCTTAAGTCACATTTTGACCTTATTTATTATTCGCTCATTAACCTTGAGTGTTTTTATACAAGCATGTGTGTGTTTATTGTTCACCCTATTCATTGCGTTTCCGTAGCTTATTTTTGTCTGACTATAAATACTGAGTCTCGCTTTATCGAGGCAACTTCGTCGACTTACCTTCTCAGCTTTGTTTCTCTGATTGTTTGTCTACATAAACAAATGCTTGAAATAAATTGATCCGACACAACCTGTAATTTGCTTCTTATTACCATCAGCACACAATTGTGGTTAAACTAAATAATATATGGAGTTAAGTGGAAGATTTATATTTATGGCATATTCATTCGTTCTTTTAGGTCGGAGTCAGATTAATGAATCACAGACGTAGTCACATTATTTGATGTAAAATTTAGGGTTTAATAAGTAATGATGTATTCCAGTTAATTAATCACTACCAAACCTACTAAGTGATATAAACTCTTCCTAATGGATGAGCATTGTTTATATTCTCGAATCCTTAAGAATACACAAACACATTTTGAACAGTACCCACATAGTTCCAAGTTACAGATAGCATCTTCATCACGAATTGAAATTAGCTAAAATCTTACATTATTCCCAAGTCATTAATGAATAAAATTCATTGAAAAGTATGAGAGGTGACATCTGATTAGTTTGTTGATAAAATTGAAGGCCATCAGGTTAAGGTTTTCTTCAGGATTAATTAAGGGTTTAGAGTTGATATTTAGGGATAGTGTCAATTTGCCTGTTATGTACAATCTGTAGGAACAGAATTAGACACTTGATACATTAAACACTATCATTATTCCACTCTATGATGGTTGGAAATAATTGTTCGCTATCATTTCAAACGTTTTAATTAGTGTCCAGAAGAATTTTTAATGGTTGATGTATGTGGTGTGTTGAATTTGGCACAACAACCTAAGCGTTACTTTCTTAATTCTGATTGAGTCATCACTAAAATATATTTTTATCTTTCATTTTGAGATGACGGTGAAGATTTGTAGCTCAAATGGATGATTTTGTTGAAGTTTCTGAACTGGATGGTTCGGTCATGTAACTTTCATTATTCTTCTGAACGACATCATCAGCATAATCTTCACTTTAACCTGTAGTTCCATGATCAAACCATCCAGCTCAAAGAACAAAACTCTATCAAATACCTTTCATTTATTTACATTCTTATAAATATCAGATGGGTTTTGTGGATAATATGGTAATTTCAATGGTTAAGATCATGAGTCAGTTGAAGCTAGACCACCATGGAAAACCTGGAAGCACTGGACAGCCGTTTCGTCCTATTGTGGGACTCCTCAGCAGTGCGCATCCACGACCTCGCCCCCTGCGAGATCCGAACCCAGGACCTACTGGTTTCGCGCGCGAGCACTTAACCACTAGACCACTGAGCCGGCCGGCATCCAACGGTGTTATTGTCTAACTTCAACTAATCCACGAAATCGAGCGACATAATCGCCATTGTTTTCAGTGAGTTACTATCTCACAACAGACCTGGTTGAACTTTACTGGTCACTACTTCTCACTAGAACTCCAGGATATATTCATATAAATGATAAAATGTCATAAAAGTAATACTATAATTAAATTTTATGAAAACATACCGATCGTAAAAGTTTTATATATTTCATTCAATGATTCAATATCATTTTCAAGATTATAATTTGCAAATTGAACATCTTTTAAATTTGTATATTTCTCTGGTGTAATTGTTGTAGTTTCAATATTAGGAATTACATTATCCTTTAAAGATATACTTTGATTGTTATTATGATGAAGAGTTGAATGGTTGATCTTGTATAACGGATTATTGATTTGATATTCATATAAATCTTCAATAATATACCTT